GTGAAAGTAAAAAAAGGGACTTCCAGACCTAGTCCCTGAAAACCTCTTCTGTACTATCTCCCATCTTTCCTCAACTGGTCAACCGATGCCCAAGAATCTAAGACATTAGAAGAAGGTGAAACATCAAGAGAGGTCATCTGCAGTCAGGAGTATTCAGTTAAAGTTGAAATAAATAAGGCATACTCAATTATATTTAGCCAGAGTAATTTGGGGGCTTAGCTGTGAAATCTATTAGTACTTCCTTAACTAACACATTCCTCAGATCTATACATTTTCTCATTGTGTACCAGGAGATACAGGCCTGCTGTGTTTTCAGGAATGGCTTTAAGATTTTTTAAAACCCTAACATGCAAACACAAGATGTATGTTTACATCATGAACTGATGATTTAAATATAATACTAATATGCTTTTGGAATCATAAGAATTTGGGATACAACTTTGTCTTAGTTTATATTTTGCTGCTATAGCAGTATCTAAGACTTGGTAACCTATAAGCAATAGAAGTTTATTTGGCTAACAGTTATGGAGTTCTGAACCCCAAGATCAAGGGGTTGCATCTTGTGAGGACCTTCTTGCTAAATTATAACATTGTGGAAGACATCACATGGTGAGAGAAGGTGAGAGGGCAGGAGATGGAAAAAGGGAGCTGAACTCCTGCAGTCACTAACTTACTCCTAAGATAGTGGTAATAGTCTATTCACGAGGGCCCTACCTCTTAATATAATCACAATAGCAATTAAGTTTCAGCATGAGCCTATAATTTCAGCTACTTGGGAAGCTGAGGCAGAAGGATTGATTGAGCTCAGGAGTTTGAATTCAGCCTGGGCAGCATATCGACATACTATCTCTTTAAAAAAAAAACACCCAGAAAGAAAAACAAAACAAAACAAAAAACCATGAATTTTGGAGGGAACACTCAAACTATAGCCAACACTTACTTACAAATAGAAAAAAAATAGCCAGGAGGAAACATTTCTATAAATGTTGCTGTCTGCAAATGATACTACCAAATTTCTGTCTTATCAGTTCAGGATGGCAGAGAAAGATTGGAGACAGACTGAGTTGTGTGCTAAAGGTGAGAGAAGTTTTATTTTTTTTCCTTCTTCTGCAGCCCTAGGCTGAATGGAGGTTTAGTGGTGTTTTAGCTCATTGCTGTTTAGAGTCATATTTACTATGCTGTAGATGGACAGCCAATGGAACATAAGTCCATGAGAAAAGGATTCTGTGGTTACATATAAATTAGGAAAATACCGCATACTATATTTCTACAGGAGAGTCTCAATGCATATTATCAGATTGAAAACTCTTAGAAAATCTAGAGTCTATTTAATAAATGGTGCTGGGAAAACTGGCTAGCCATATGCAGAAAACAGAAACTGGACCCCTTCCTTACACCTTATACAAAAATTGACTCAGGTTGGATTAAGGACTTAAATGTAAATCCAAAACCATAACCTAGAAGAAAACCTAGGCAATACCATTCAGGACATAGGCATGGGTGAAGACTTCATTACTAAAACATCAAAAGCAATTGCCAAATTGCTTTTGGTAAAAGGCAGAATTGACAAATGGGATCTAATCAAACTAAAGAGGTTCTGCACAGCAAAAGAAACTACCATCAGAGTGAACAGGCAACCTACAGAATGGGAGAAAATTTTTGCAGTCTACTCATCTGACAAAGGTCTAATATCCAGAATCTATAAGGAACTTACACAAATTCATAAGAATAAAACAATCCCATCTAATAGAGGGCAAAGGATATGAACAGACACTTCTCAAAAGAAGACATTTATGTAGCCAACAAACATATGAAAAAGTGCTCATCATCACTGGTCATTAGAGAAGTGCAAATCAAAACTGCAATGAGATACCACCTCACACCAGTTAGAATGGCAATTGTTAAAAAGTCAGGAAACAACAGATGTTGGCAAGGCTGTGGAGAAATAGGAATGCTTTACACTGTTGGTGGGAGTGTAAATTAGTTCCATTGTGGAAGACAGTGTGGCGATTCCTCAAGGATGGAGAACCAGAAATAACATTTTACTTAGCAATCCCATTACTAGATATGTATCCAAAGGATTATAAATCATTCTGCTATAAAGACACATGCACACATATGTTTATTGCAGCACTATTTACAATAACAAAGACTTGGAACCCACCCAAATACCCATCAATGATAGCCTAGATAAAGAAAATGTGGCACGTATACACCATGGAATACTATACAGCCTTAAAAGAGAATGAAGCTGGAAGCCATTTTTCTCATCAAATTAACACAGGAATAGAAAACCAAATACCACATGTTCTCACTCATAAATGGGAGTTGAACAGTGAGAACAAATGGACACAAGGAGGGGAACATCACACACTGGGGCCTGTCAGTGGGTCAGGGGCAAGAGGAGGAAGAGCATTAGCACAGATAGCTAATTCATGCAGGGCTTAAAACCTGGATGACAGGTTGATAGGTGCAGCAAACCACCATGGCACATGTATACCTATGTAACAAACCTGCATGTTCTGCACATGTATCCCAGAACTTAAAGTAAAATAAAATTTAAAAAAAAGCCTGCAATAAAGGAACTTGTTTTTAACATTGTCAGTTTATCATAAATAATGATATATAATATAATCTTGTTAGAAAATTTATATTTTACTAAATTGTTATAATTTTATCTACAAATAAATAATTTATTCAGAATAAACTACCCCTAAATCTCAGTGATCGTTTGTTCTCACTCATTGCGGCCCACTGTAGGTCAGTGGGTGGTTGGGAGAGGATGGTTGAGTTCCATTCAGGGACCCAGGTTCCATCCACAATGTGTGGCCATTATCTTTCTGGGCTTCAGAGTTCCACTGGATTCTTTGAATCCAGCTAGCTGCAGGAAAATATGAAGAGACACTTGGTCTTAGCCACCTTTGGAAGTGATGATTTCCACTACTCCTTCCGTTTCATTAGTGAATGCTATTTTGTGGGCCAGCAATTTAGCTAGTTCAGGTTGTTAAAGTTTGATCTGGCCTCAGGTTTGATGAGCCATCCATTTTTTTCCACCAAACGATTGATTTACTTCTGGCAAAGAATATTAAGATTCTTACCATCTTGAGAAGCCATATTCAAATCTGGAACGTCTGCTCCTACTCTGTCCTCTCTTCTTTATAGCATGTGAATTTCAGCTCTGGAAAGATTAATATTGTTCTATAGTAGATCCATGTCTCTTTATCTTCTCCAGGGGCTGAGAGGTTCTTCAAGATACCTTAAAAAGGCAGCTTATAACAAATTAGGTTGGAGGCAGTGGTTGAGAAGGGCTCATCAGTCTTGACTCTGGGCTTTTTATCTCGCCTCAACCAAGGCAGTCCAGCTTTGATATGTATAGTTAAAAGAAAGGGTTATACTACTAGTGAAAAAACTGAAAACTATGGCTATTAGCTAAATCAATCACTTCTCAGATGAAAAACTGGAGGCCCAAGGAAGTTTATCAATTGGCCTGACATCACACAGATACTCTAGGAGGACCTGGCATTTATAGTTGAGTTTCCTGACTCTCTGATCAGTGCTCTTTGTGCTGGGGTAGCTGCCTACTACTTCTCTCCTTGTGTGTGGCATGTGATCTGAGGTCTCAGATAAAGGGAGGGGAGTCAGGCTCTGCTGATGCCACTAAGGACATAGGCAGGCAGATTCACCTCCTGCTTTTGGTCTCTTAATTCCCTCTAGGTGAAGCAAGAACAAGCCTGTCTTCCCATCTAGGGCAGGGCTGCTCTGTGAGAGGCTGATGGTGCACCCTGCTGGGATCTTGGCACTTCTCAGGCATTTTATTAGCCCCTATTTACAGAGACACTGCCTGAATTCCTTCTGCCACTCTATCCCGCACTCCCTATGCTGGTGGCGAACAGTGCCATTTTAAAATCTCAAGCAGGAGACAACATAATTGTCTCATTATATTTAAGTTTTTGTAATGTTGTTCTTTTTCAGAGTTGTGAAGATAGAGTGGATATAGGTCAGCTTGATTCTATTTTTCTCTATCAGTGGAATGCAAATATTAAATATGCAAAACATGGGGCACTCTGTCCATGTCTCCTTCCCCCTAGTTCTCACCACATGACATTTGTTTCTGCTCAAGACTGGAAAGAAGTGATTGCTTTAGATTTGCTTTTCTTTTACCAACCGAAGAAATACCTTACTGTGTCTTGTTTAAATGTGGCTTTTCACACAGTTCCAGCTTTTGAGGGCAGAGAGGGGTACAAATAATCTATGTGGTAGGCAGTTTTATTGCTCGGAAAAGAAGAAAACAGACCCCAATGTTTGGAATGCCAGTGACTTAGTTTCTAGCAGGTTTGCTACTTGTTCCAACGCCAGAAAAGACTCACATAAATTTTGGCCATGAGAGGGAGGGGTTCCCTGTAGGCCAAAGGAAGGGTCACTAGAAGTTGAGGGGGATATGGTATGCCTCTCTAGATTCCAAACTTTCCTTTGCTGCCTATCTGATAGCCAGGTGAAAGCTGAGATTACTTTGTATGAGAAGGTTCTGTGGGTTGGTGTTCATCAGGGAAAATGATCAGGACAGACTTTGCTGGCCAAGGGTTTGCCCATGTTTTGAGAATGAAAACGCGTTTACTTGAGAGTGAGAGTCACTTGGTCAGCTGTTTATATTCCATTTTAAAATATTTTTGTGCTTGCTATTTTTTTCTTTTGGTGTTTGACAGATGAGCAAAAATTCTTTTTAATAACTTTAAAAAAGCTATCCCAGTGCTGACCAGGGAAGAAAAAGTGATCAAATTGTCTAAAAAGGAAACATTATACATTTGAGTTTTTATTTGCTTAGTACTAATTCTATTTTCTCCTCCCACCTTTTTTTCTAAATGTGTAACAACAAAGGGGGAGATAATTTTTATTTTTCCCAAAATGCTTTCAGGGAAATCCCTTTTAAACCTATGGATTTTAGTCCAATGAGGAATCCTCTTCCTTTGGTCTAAATTTTGCATATCGTCTGTTTCTTGCAGGGCTTCCGTATTGTCTCAGCCTCCACTGGAAATGCAGCAAGGATTCCTAGCACATCCCAGTTGCCATAGCAACAGCAGTCTTTCCCATAATGAGCTGCATCATCTGAACTGATGTCACAGCATCATGCAGCAGGTCAAACAAGGCATCTCCTAGTATTGCATCCTACAGATGTGCTGTAAACATCAAAAGAAGACGGTGGGATCAGGAAATGGTGAGTGTTAAATGTCTAGGCCTTAATTGCATGGCTGTTTTGTTGGTTAGTCGGTGTCTGCTAAGGCGGAGATTGGGGGATGTTGTCTCTGCTTAAAATGGACTGGGGGAAGAAGGGCTGTTTTACCTAAATCTGTTTTTCAGCCTGCCGGGTTAAGACAAAGGCCTGTAAGAGTCATATAGGAATTAAAATATGTAGAATTATTCTTGCTCCAGCTCTGTCTGTATTTTTAAGTGTTCTTACAGAATTTTTCATAAGCATAAGATGATTTTCAATTGCAAAACCCCAAATAAGCTTTAAAAGGAGTAGTTAACAGTATTTAAGCATTGTAAAAATATAGATTTCTTTTCGGGAGGCAGAGCTAATTGGCCTCCTCTTTGCTCTTGTGAGTTATGAAATATTCAGTGATTTGCAGTATGAAAGTCAGTATTTACCTCGGTTGGGTTTCAGTTTCTTCATGGCAAGGAACAAATGCTGAATAAGCATTTGACATAATCCTGATGTGAAAGAGGATCTCTTGCATATTCAAGACAGAATTTATTAAAAGCAGAAAGACCAAAACCAAATGAAATTATTTGAGCCTTTTGATTTATATGGTAGTTCTTCAACCCATGTCTTTCACAGTTAGTTGAAAGACCGACACATATTTTTCCATCTCTAGCTAGTCTCTGAAATAGCAGGAGTTGTTTGCAGGCTGACTTGTAACTGAGAAAGGAACAAGTCTCCTCTCTGCGGCAGTTGCAGTGAAGGGTAACCCTGGGGAGAGCCTCTGAAGTGACAGTGGTGTTGCCATGCCTTGCTTAACTTTAACAAAAATCTGGTATGATAAATAAATGTCAGGGTCCTCAGTGGTTGTAGGAAATACAGATCTCTGGACTCAGTCATAACCTCAACTCAATTCCAAAACTCTAGATAAACATGTATCATTTTCATTTCAACTCCTAGCTCTGTTTTTAGGCATCTTCACTATTATTATTTTTTTCTAAAAAATGTAGTCTGATGGTGTCAGATAAGGACCAATATGTTGCCTTTTGTTTTGGGAAATGAAATGGATTTCCCTGGTGCAGCTGATTGCTACTAGGGGAGAGAAAGGAGGAGGCACATGTCAGTTCAATTGATCAATATGTCCACTTAGAATCAGGGAGTGGTCTGGTGGCTTAGTGCTGCCAAATTGATAGTTTTTACTCAAAAAGTCTTACAGGAAAGAATGGCAACCATTGAATTCCTCTTCTTTTAGTCTGTTTATTGAGGCTAAAGAAGAAAAGCAATACCTTTAGCTAGCTTGGAGTAATTTTTTTTTTTTCACAGAGTTGAGCATATTAGGCACCAGCCAGAGGAAAGGCCTCAGATTTTAATTTGCTTGTTTATACCATATCACGCACATGCTTGCTACCTTCAGTCCTGTAAGCTTATGTTTCTCACATGCAGCTGTATAGGATGGGAGAGGTCAGCTCAGCCTCGCTTTATCACAAGCACTTAGGAGCATGAATTGTTCATTGCCTGCTTTTTTATGTCATATAATGTGAGCAGAAAGCTCTGCTGGGACTGCTGGGTATGAACGCATCTAAGTCAGAAGCTCTAAGGTGACAAGGAAGAGTGCTAGATGGTGATGGGGGAAGGGAAAGTATCTTGTAGCTAGATTATAAATCTGGAGAAAATAACTTAGTGCCTTTTAGAATTCTCTTAAATTATTATTTCTGAAGAAAAGCCATGAAGAAAGACTTGTTTAGTAACATGAATTTCTAGGAGTTAAAAAAAAGCAAAAGGCAGCATTTTAATGAGTTTTCTATTTGCTTAATTCTTGTCTCTTTTGTCTAAAGTGCTCTCAGCTGCTTCATCATGGATGATTTGTCCAATTACTGGAAGTTACAAAAGCTAGATTCCTTAAGGGCAGTGTTAGAAAAAGTGGAGTCATGCTTTGAGGGTGGGGAAGGGCGCTGGTGGGTGTGGACTGACGCAGTTATCTAGTGGAACATCCTCCCAGTTCAGACAAGCCTGTAATTTCTCCCCTCTGCAAATGTTCAAAATGCAATTACAGTTCTCCAACTTTATGCTTTTGTGCTCTTTTTGCTCCAGGAGAACAAAGCCCTGGTAATGGGAGCTGTCATCCTAATGCTCTGTTTCTTCATTTCTTTGCAGAGGGCCACAGCCTGCACTGCTCTCTGATTAGCTGCATGTCTTAATTACTGGCTAAGGCTATTTCAGTTGTCTGAGTTTTAATATATCCCCAAGGGGTGGATGGTATGTGTGTGTGTGTGTGTGTGTGTGTGTGTGTGTGTGTGTGTGTGTGTGTGTGTGTGTGTAGGGGAAGGGAGAGATTTCTCTATGGCCGTATATATTGGTGCCTCACTGAAACTTTCTACAATGTAAAGAATTATGTTTCACAGTAATGATAGATCAAGACCATGTTGATTGGATCAAGTTTAGGCCATGGAAGCCTCACAAGAAGTTAATGTCCTCTATACTTTTGGTTATGGCTTTTATAAATAAGTCACAAAGTTACAAAGAAGTCAATTCTTTGTCGATAACTAGGCCACAGTGGGGGGGGGGATGATAAAAATAATAATCATAATAACAATCATAGCTATCATTTATTCAGTTCTTACTATGTATCAGGTACTAAGGTAAGTTTTGTGTATATCTTATTTGGCCCTTATTATTATGAAGTAGAGAGTAATAGTCTTACTTTATAGGATTAGGCGTTATTATTCACATTTTGCAAAAACCAGTCCTTAGCCAGGAGAGTAAATTTGGCTAAGGTTATAGTTAATAAGTGATTGGGCCAGGATTCCAAACCGACGCAATCTGGCCATTCAGCACACATGCTTACCCATAGTCATCTCAGTTTTATGACATCTTAACTGTGTCTACCATACAGACCAGTCATGAGTACTCTATCATATGTACCCCACCCCTCCTCATTCTAATTGAAAAATCAGATTTCACATGTAGAATGAAATCTTATTTGCAACACTAAGATTGATTTCACTGTAAGTATGAGCATGAATATTGATCAGATGTGAATATTTACTTTGTACCTAGAGATTTAAGTAATGAAGAATTGATGCTTAGACCTTTGCCACTACCCTTGCTAACCTAAGTTTGTAGCAGAATCTCTGTATGAAAAATGTTATATCAGTAAGTGTGGGTGTGATGGATTTGAACTCAAAGTAGGTCTTTACCCGAGTCAGTAATGATTCAGCTCTGTTATATACCTGTCTTACCAGCTATATTTGTGGTGCTTTGTTAACTTTAAGGTGTTTGTATGCCCAGGCAACACCAGGGCATACAAACGGAACAGAAGCAGAAACTTCTCTCATAGTCTGGAAAGTGTAATCTGAATCTATCTTTTAGGTTAAGAAGATAAATAGAGGATTTATTTTGCTGAATTTATCAGTGGCTGAAACCAAACTCTGTCTACTCTGACAAGCTACAAGAATGGCAGTCTTGTATAATATCCTGGAAGCCTTGTGTTTGAGAAGAGTTAATATAGTCATTTCTGTATCATTTTGCTCATCCCCAGCTATCCACGCCCAGTGTCATTATTGGGCTCTAAGGGCTGTTCTTTGTTTGAGTGTGGGGCTAATGCACACACTGACAGCATGTTGATATTGATTCCAGTATGGTGAATACTTAGAAATATTATTCCACAGGGCTCATTAGCCTTTTCTAGGTTCCAGGAAGAAGTTAACCTTTGTCCTAACCTACTGCAAAGAAGCCCAAGCTTGTGTCTGCATGAGGTACAGGAATGAGAGGCTGATCAGAAAGCATCAAAGCTGCTAGGTGCAATGACTACAGGAGTTAGATTCCAATTAGGAAATAAAATAGCCAGTGGAATTTAGGGAAGTTGGTGGTCCTTCTACGTGTCTCCGATTCTTTTTTTCCATTTACAGTCCTAGAACCCATGAAAGGCAATTTGTTTTGATCCCATGAATTCAATTCAATAAGTGTTTACTGAATATCTCCTATATGCCAGACATTGTCAGACAATCTATGGCAATGAGCAAGACAGACGCAAATTGCTTCCAAGACTACATTCTAGAGGGGAAGGCAAAAATGGGTAAATTTGTAAAATAATTTATTCCCTCTAATACTGCAACACTATTTATTTTTATCCCTCATGCTATTAGATAAGCCCATTATCAGTGCATATTTGTATAGATGCATATGCATATATGGTTTATATATGGAGGTAAACCTACTGCATTAAATAACAACTTTTTAAATTCTTACTTGGGTTTGGATTAGAATCTTTCTGGATGTGGACAAGTCCAAAAAGGCAACTACCATTTTTTGGGTATAAGCTATGTTGAGAAATATAATTAGTCAAATAGTGCATGTCTATCTTAGTTGACAAACAACACATGAAAATATGAAATGCATATGGCAAATCAGTTAAGGAGACATATTTTCATTTTCCTTTCTTTTTTTAAAATATATTTTATTGCACTTTAGGTTCTGGGGTACATGTACAGAACATGCAGGATTGTTGCATAGGTACATACATGGCAGTGTAGTTTGCTGCCTCCATCCCCGTCATCTGTATCTGGCATTTCTCTCCATGTTATCCCTCCCCAACTCCCTACCCCCTCACTGTCCCTCCCCTAGTACCCACCAACAGACCCCAGTGTGTGATGCTTCCCTTACTGTGTCCATGTGTTCTCATTGTTCAACACCCACCTATGAGTGAGAACATGTGGTGTTTGCTTTTCTGTTCTTGTGTCAGTTTGCTGAGAATGATGGTTTCCAGATTCATCCATATCCCTACAAAGGACACGAATTCATTGCTTTTAAGGCCTGTATAGTATTCCAGGGTGTATATGTGCCACATTTTCCTTGCCCAGTCTATCATCGATGGGTATTTGAGTTGGTTCCAGGTCCTTGCTATTGTAAACAGTGCCACAATGAACATACGTGTACATGTGTCTTTATAATAGAATGATTTATAATCCTTTGGGTATATACCTAGTAATGGGATTGCTGGGTGTAATGGTGTTTCT